TGGAAGTGGCTTTAAAGAACTAGAGCAGAGGGCGATGTCTAAGGTGTTGTGATGGATGGACTGGACAGAACAGGGCATTAGGATCAGCAGAGCTCTGGGGAACAGAAATACTCCAAGGTAACACTCTGGCGAATTGGCAATAGCAACATTTTTTCATGGACTCCTAAATCCAACAGAGGGTGCTCTCCTCACACTGATTTTCTTTATGTAAATTAAGCTATTTAAAAAATGCCTGGTGTATATTGAGGTTATTCCTTATTTTAGCAGTTTATGAAGTATGTCCTAGAAAATACTATTGATTGACAGATGGTTTTGAAAGTCTAAATTGTCTTCAAATTGATATCTTGTGAGAATTAATAGAATATACACTTTGATCACTGCCATGAATGAATCTATATTTTTAGTAAACTCAAAACATAAAAATAAATTACATTAAATTAAAAGGCCAGATGTAGAGCAATACATTTCTAATACAAATCAAGTGACTTGAAAATACAAATAACCTAAGAATATACAATAGAATCGACTTGGGTAAATACTGCATAGAAATAAAATTGTTTTAATTATATAAGTACTGTTTAGTTACCCAGATCCCAATTAATCAAGTATTCTTAAATAGTTGGAATTACGTTGTGTTGCACTGCACTTTGAGGATAATGAAGCAAATCTAAAGACAACTCACATAAAGCGTTTGCTTTTTAAATTAACTGAGGTACATAGCTGTTGTCATCATTACCCATTCAGCATATATCTGTTACCTATAACATTCAAGATCCTGTCATTCATTGTGGTGATGCAAAATGAGAAAAACATCACATCTGTACATATAAGCTATAATACCAGGGGTGGGAGGGAATGATTAGGGTCATAGGGATTTTAGAGAAGGAAAAAAGTCACTCCTAATTGATAAAGTAATTAAAATATTTAATTTTTGAATTCTTTTATATGCTAGGACCTGTTGTCAATGTTTTACTCATAACATCTTATTCAAATTTCATAACAGTCCTGGAAGGTCTGTACAATTATCTCCATTCTACAGATGAGGAAGCAGAATAACTTACCCAAAGTCACACAGCCAATGACCTAGAAAATCAGACTCTAAAACTGGTGTGCTTAGCCACTACTCCAAAGGGGCTTTCTGAAGGGAGTAATGTTTGATGCCGACCTTGAAAGGAGGTAGAATTTGGGGATGCAGTCAGTTTCCACATCTGTAAAACAGAGATAATGATGATACTTCCTTCATGGGATTTTTGTGAGGAAGGAATGAAGTTTTCAAAGTAAAATGCTTAGAACAATGCCTGGGAACATGGGCATTAGTCATTATCATTACTATTAGTATTATTAAGCAATGATGATGGGAGAGGACTTCCAGATATGGTATATCTTCCTAAGTGCACTAGGTGCACTTAGTAGCTGAGCCCACTGAAATGCTCTCTGCAGCAAAGAGTAAAAAGGCAAGGAAGTGATTATGGGAAGACACATCTTCTCCAGCAGATATTCCTTGATTGCCCTAAATGGGTCTGGTCTGTGTACTTATTCATATCCCCCACCCCGACCGCCC